AGAGGTGCCCAGGTGGGCATAGGGGCACTTGGTCAAGCAGGTACATGGACAGCTAGGTGGGCACTGGGCAGGGATGAAGTTGTCTGGGCGGGTGAGATCCAGGCAGGTGTGAGGATATGGGGACACGGATAGGTTAAGTGAGATGAGCACCTGGGCATGTGTGACAAGCACTCGGACAGGTGTGTTTGCAAGTGGTCGGCTGTGTGCTGTTGGGAACGTCTGAGCAGTTCTGGGGGTATCTATGTATGTGTGTGGGCACAGTAGGGGAGTCCCCTGGAGGTGCAGCACCCAGGAGCTGACAGAGGTGTTTTTTAAAGTGGATGGTTGTGTGCTGTTGGGAATATCTGAGCAGTTATGGGGGTATCTGGGTTTGTGTGTGGGCAGAGTAGGGGAGTCCCCTGGAGGTGCAGTCCCCAGGAGCTGACAGCACAGGAGACTAAGGCAGGAGTAGGGCAAAACTGGCCATGAAGGTGTTTGGGCGCTCTGGTGGGACATTCTCTCACAGGTCTGTGCTGTCCTGCCAGGGATCAGCTGGACTGGCAGCCCACCTGGCTCTGCCTATGCTGTCTAGCTGCCCTGCCCAGCGATGCCAAGGTGCTGCTCTGGACAGAGAAATGAGGATATGACTGCCCTGCTTGCCTGTGGGGTGATTACAAGCCTTCCCTCTTCTCTTCCAAGGACTTCAATCTGTCAAATGAAAAAGGTGGACATGCCAGCGACGAGAACTCAGAGCGTGGCAACTGGTCAAACAAAACTGACTACCTGCTCTCCATGGTGGGCTACGCCGTGGGCCTGGGCAACGTCTGGCGCTTCCCCTACCTCACCTACCAGAACGGAGGAGGTACCTGCACTGAGTGGCAATGTTGGGTGGGCACGCTTTGCTATCTCTAAGAGAGAGGAGGGCAAGCTCCAAGGGCCAGCCCCGAGGCTGGGCTTGTTTTGTCAGAGCTGGCTGTGAGCATCACCCTGGGAACTGGGATAATGTCCACTCATGGGAAAGGGAAGAGGAGTGCTGATCTATGTGCTGTTTGGGTGCCAGCTGAAGAGGGAAATAGTACTTAATTGCAAATTTCCACCTGAGAATTCCAGAAAGCTCCAGATTTACTGATGACCAATATGCACCTTTTTGTCAATATGCACCAATATGCACCTTTTTGTCAATCTTCTACTTATCTAAAGAGCTATTCTCTCTCCCTCCCTGGTGCTTACCTCCCTGATATGTTTATAGAGAACAGTTGAATCCCCTTTGCACCTTTGTTTTGTCATGCAAACAAGCAAAGCTGGAATAATTATCCAAGCTCAATAATTATCCCAATCAGATACTTGAGAAGTGTGAGGCAGAGAGAGCCTCTACCTACTTACACAATGGACTAGTGGCAAAGCCAAGTGGAGTCACTGGCTTCCCTGGCTGCTATTCCAGAGCTTTATCTACTTGCCAGGCCACCGCTGGCAGTTAAAGGGAGCATAGATGTCAAGTAATTGCGCAGAACTTACTTGTATCTGCCTATTGCTCTGCCTAACAGTCGTTGAAGACAAATTCTGGACTGTGCAGCACAGCCTGTACAGCTGTGTGTGGAACACAAGGAGGCATTCCCAGTACAGAAGTTTCAGTGGAGTCAGATTGGCTGTGTTGTGTTAATTACAGTTTTGTTGAAGAAAAATATGGAAGCAAAATAAGTCGTGACATTGGTCCTTATACTGGATCTTTATTTCTTATCTGCCAGAGCAGAAAATTTTGCATTTAAAGCGTATTTGTTCTGCTGTTTGCATCCTTCTCTGTGCGCTTTGCCTATGATTAATAAAGACAACAGTTACATCCTTGTTTTGAAACACGGGAGTAATCTGGTTAATTCTGTGGGACTATTTGCTTCCTGAAATTACATTAGGTGTTTGCAGATCCTTGCAAAACTGGGTCCTTGATTACTTTGAGTTCACTGAGAGTGACAAAGACAGGTTTCTGCAGGGATATCGGGTTGTGTCTAGGAAACCTGTGCTCTCACTTTCCCTGTGTTCTGCGCACAAAGTAATGCCAGTCCCTTTCACAGAAAAAGGTGCTCATTGGTATCGGGTTAACGTACACTTTGAAATGGACTTGAACAAGAGCCATGCTGAGATGCTGTTTGACACTGGACTCAGCCAACCATGGAAAATATTTTTCTGCTTTGATGTCTGGTGGCTGCTTGAACAGGGCAGTTGCAAATGTCAGCTAAGTGCATAAAGGAATGGTTCTGTTATTTTTAAAACTTAAACCTGGAGGATTAAATAAGAAGTGGACAAGGCTGATGGTGCCTCTTCAGCTGAGCAGTGTTCCTGCTTGTATAAGAGCACTATGTCTTCAGTAATTTTTGTAAAATAATTTTCATTCTGGAAGAAAAGCCATCCCATGTAAATCAGCAGTTCTCTTCATTACAGGTACTATTTAGTTTTATAGAAAACAGGATTCAAAACCAAATCTCTATTCTGAAAGAAAAGCCCCTACAGTGGGATATTTGAGACAGGGAAAAAGGGGAAGTGTAAAATGTGGTACAACTGTGGTGAATACTGAAAGATTTGTTGTTTTCTCTCTGTGTTTGATTGTGGGTTTTTTTTCCCCCCCCCCTCTCCTTTCAGGTGCTTTTCTAATCCCCTACACCCTGATGCTGGCATTAGCTGGCTTGCCCTTATTTTTTATGGAATGTTCCCTTGGGCAATTTGCCAGTCTAGGGCCAGTTTCCATCTGGAGAGTACTACCATTGTTTCAAGGTTGGTATTGTTATGTTTCCTTAGATGTTTTTTATTCTAGTAATTGACTAAATGTGGATTAATGATTTCTTCGTGAAGTTAGTAATTCTGAGATGCCTATTTCATGTAGAGAATATTCCCCACTATACAAGGTCAGTGTTATGTTCCCAGGTCCACCCTTCCTTTCTATTCAGTTAACAAACAGATGTCGATTAAAGATTTCCTCAAAAGGTTGTCAGTTATGAGTGGTTTTGTCAATGATTCTCCTGGTGTTTAGCAGCACACCATTCTCACTGCAGCTGCCTAGTCAGAATGAAATCACCCTGCCTGATTCATGAGGGCAAACCTCAATAAAGGTCTGGTAACAGGTTGAAAATAATTTTTAGAAGTTGACTTTATCACTGTTTATTTACTCTTCAAGTCCAGCGTAGCTTGCAAGGCAGTTCTGTGTTGAACGGACTAATTCTGTATTTGGCTGCCAGTGCTGGTACAGGCATGTGGGTCTGGTTGCTGTAGGCAATGCTGTGCACATAGTTATCCAGCAACTGCCTTGGGAGTCATTTGCTGGTGTGATAAAATAGCCTAGTCTCAGGCTTTGTAAGGTGAGGTGCCTCTTGAGATAAGAGAAATCTAGCAATCTATAGTGGTAGTATGCCCCTCTCTGCGGGGGTTTGCATTTCATAGGCAGCTTTCTTTGGAGACAACTAACCATGTGATTTACCCAGTCCTATCCATTCAGGTCCTGCACCGTGGGTGTAAAGGACTATGCAATTGGTCTTGATTGTCCTATTTATCTACCAGAGGAATTAATGTAGGAATAAGGAAGTTTATTTCTGATGCAAGAAGAATTTTGCTTGTCGTCTTCTACAGAAACTGGTTGCCCCAATGCTTATTTTCTTTGCCAGTCTCTGTTCTGCAGCACAAGAGCAGAGTATTTAACTTCAAAGCAAAAGTTTTTAAACACAGCAAATCTGTTATGTGTCTGTGAGGAGAGAAATTTAAATATAGTCTCTAAAATTGAGACAGTTTGTCAGGCTTTCCCGAACTTGCAGAACAAAACTTAATTTTAACGAAGGAGGAGAACAGTAATATTGGCACAGATTTACTGTCCTGTGTTGCTGCTCATTGTTGTTAAAAGCGTTCCTTACAGAGGGATCTTTAAAATGGCTTGGCAGTTCTCATACAGTTTTTGTTTTATTAAGCTTCCCTCTGAACTGGGAGACAGCAAAATCCTGAATTTCTCCTTTAGACTTGGGCTTAGCAGGTAGTCCATTTTTTCTATGGGCCTGATTCAAACTCTGAATGAAAACCATATTTGAGATGGTCAGTTTGAATCATAGCCGTCATTTCCTGGCTTTACCCTTTCACTGTTTGTTTGCTGTTAAAAATTATTTTATAAAGCAACCTCAACTTCTCCCCAAGTAGCCTTTTAAAAGTCAAGTGAAACTCGTCTGGTTTGGGTTTTTTTCAACTCAAGTTTGTTAATTAATAGTTTGTTCCTTCTTCTTTCCTAGGAGTGGGCATCACGATGGTTGTCATCTCAACATTTGTGACGATCTACTACAATGTTATCATTGCTTATGCACTCTACTACTTATTTGCCTCATTTCAAAAAGTGCTGCCGTGGTCAGACTGCTTTTCCTGGGCAGATGAATTCTGCAGCAAGACACGAATAGGTACCATACTTAACAGATAGAGCTTAATATTACTGTTTAAGGTAATTGTACTTTTTCTGGGAGAAATTACAGGAGCAAGACAGCCACCCCTGGCTTGAAAAGTCCTTCCTGGAGTTTTGTCTCTGAACATATGAGAGTGATGCTTATCTGCTTCCCTGCCACCAGTTCTGGATGCTTGGGAAATCTAGAGAACTCGGCTGAAACCATCTTGGTTCCTTTTTTCTCTCCTTTAAAACCTCAGGTTATTTCTAGTACCTACAAGTTTTTGGCAATGCTGCATTCCCATTTCATCAGGATTCATGGCAAACAAATACTTCCATTCCATGAGACAAATGTACTGCTGTAGTTTCATGGATTTTTTTTTTTGTCACCCCTTGCCTCCCCTGTGGCTATGGTAATCCTGAGCACCAGTGAGGCACTGGTTTCGCACTTCATTAACACTTTAGAACGTATCTCCACACTATTGTTCTTGATGTTTGGCCGCAGATGTAGGGCCAAACACTTGTTATCTCACCAGTTTCCATATCAAACCAGTTTAAGGCAAAAGGTGAAGTTGCCGAGGTAATTAGTAGTTAGCAGCTGGAAACCTCTTGCCAGGTAACCTCTGAGACTATTAAAATAACAAGTACAGGATGGATTGCATTGTTTAAAGTGTTACTGTAACTCTCTTAACCATAGAGTTGAAAATCTCTTCTAAGACTCATAGGTTTCATGAAATGAAGTTGAGATGGTTTATGTAACAAAAAATTGTTGCTTGCTTATGGGCAAACCAAAAAATATTTCAGTAAAAAATTTGTAACTGCTGGAGGAATACAAAACTGAACTGAAGAGGCTGTCCTGAAATAGGCTTCAACAAGACTTTTCCAGTAAATGCTGATATGTGTGCTGATAAAATGTTCTTTACTGTATGTGCTGGCAAAAAAAATCCCAACCCCAAACAGTACTCATTTCTCCCACCAGCCCCTGCCATCCCAGGGAAATATAACTATAGTAAGTCCTCTGCCACAATAAGATGAAGTTGCTAGCAGAAGCTCTGTGTAATTTTGATTTGGGACAAGTGTTTTCATAGAGTAACCAAGGCTACTGTCTTAACTATCCACTCTTCTAATTTTTGAAGTATTCTTGAGGATAAGTGAAAGGTGCTGAGCACACCAGATTCTTGGTGTTTTGATTTACAGTCAAAGTAACAGTGTCACACCTGCAAGTGATAGTTTAGGTTTGTATCTAAATATTGTTAGTAGGCAAACTGAAGCTGTAACTGTTAAGAAAGCATATTTGCTATAGTAGTCTGATTTTAATAAGTCATAACAGTGTTAATGATTCCTTTTTCTTGTTTTCAGTAAGCGACTGCAATGCAACTTTAGATGGAGAAACCTTTCATGCAAACTACTCATTTATCACAAGCAAAAATCTCACGTGTATAAATGGCACCATAAACTACAAACCGGTGCAATTTCCCAGTGAGCAATACTGGAAGTAAGTAAATATTTTAAAGAAATATCTAAAAATAATTGTATTATGCATTTTGATTTTGCATGTACCTTCTATTTTTGTCATATCTTGCTGTCCAGAAAAAATTCTAGTCAAGGGAGGTGGACATGCAAATCAGTGCAGGGAGGACTTAAAGTTTAATTGATAAGCCTGGCCCTAATT